CTGTTTCTACCTGGAGACAGCAGTCGCCTCATTGTTCTGACACACAACACAAAACTATCCACAGTTTTTTGCTTACAAAAGTAAACTCCCCCAGTGTTTCATGATATAATTACAAACATTTCAAGAAGGATTTTTATCAGAAATTTACAGGTTTGATCACCATAATTACTTCTAACTATCTACGACAATAAAACAACAAAGATGTGAAGTTTGTTATTCATCAGTTTGCTTACATGAAAGACTGGCTGCATAGATTTTTCTTTATTGTTCTTGCAGGTTTCAATACTACATGCCCTGGGCTACCATCCCTTTCTGTTTCTTGGACAGTTTGACCACAAGGGTCGTATTGTAGGGGACGCGATCACACACATCGAGCCAGTGGAAGGTGCTCCACGTGACATCCTCATCAAGATGAGACAACTTTATGAACACCTCCTGAGAAGTAAGATATCCTTCATCCATTATCTGTAACCATGTATCCTTATCAGGTAGCCTATCCTAGCTGACTTTGAGTGAGACTCATGGTACACCCTAGAAAAGTTGGCAGTTCACCACGGGGTACATAGAGACAAACAACCATTCACACATACATTCACACATGTGGAAGATGAGGACAGTTAAGAGTCAACAGCTATTCTATTCTATTCTATTCTATTCTATTCTATTATTCAGCCAAGGTTCAGACCAGTAACCTTCTTGCTGTGTGTTGACAGCTGCCCTACATGTCCTGTTGCTAACATGAAAATAGTGTTCATCACCAAAGCTAGTGATACTGAACCTCTGGTGTTACTCACCTTAACAATTTTTATGTGTTTTTGTGTGTGTGTATTTGTGTACATGTTATGTACTTTTACACTCATGTATATAAAAATGTAATTGTACGAATCTTCTAGAACACCACACCTGATAATTCTCTCCAAGACTTTCTAGTATAACAAATGCTTACAATGTGGATGCTGGACCAGTCCCAGACCCAGAGGCTCTAAATGAGGAATTTTTTCCTCAACACCTTCCTTCTGTCAGCCTCCTGCATCCTTCTCTCTGTCTCTGCTTCCTCTTGCAGCCTCCTCTGCATCTCCACTTCCTGTACCACCCTCACTTTCTACTGTGTACACCTCGGATAAGTGGAAGCCCTGTTCAACATGGTAACAACTTTGGACAGTAACAGACATTTATATTG